CGTGGTAAGGGCGCCGGCCAGCCCTTGATTTCACCGCCTTTCGATTGTAGGGCCTTGGTTGGCTCCCAAAGGCGGTTGTGAAGTTGGCACATGTCGAAATTTGGTAGGTCAAGTGGTTTGGGGGTCGGTTGTAGGGCTCCAAGTCCATGACAGTGGACCCATGGATCCAAGGCCACTCCATCATGACCATTGATGCTAATCGACTTAAATCAACGGATGGAAGAGCTTGTGGAGCAGCTCCCATGGATCGGTGACGTGGCCAATGCCATGGTGGCACTTAGGGGGCTGGATGGCGCCCTCGTGGGGCCGGCCGGTGGTCCCAAGTGGCCCCAAGGCCTCCTACCACATCCACTTGCCTCCTATGTGTGTATTTGTCACCATTTTGGCCAAAATTCCTGCATACAAATATATTTCTATGTACAAATGGAACTAGGTGAATTATAAAGTAAATCCTACACATGTGATGATGATTTTTCCTAACTTTATCTTGCTTTTAGGTGAAATGTTGATGGTCAAAATAGGTGTTAGTGACCATCAACAACCGTCACCGATGCCTCCTACGAGACCAGCAATGAAGTTCACCTGCGCCTCCTTTGCTAGAATGACACGCTCGAGGTGGAGAACAATCATCTTCAACAATAGCTCGAACAACCTCCCAACAAACAGTAGATCTAGGTGACAAACACCTACTTGACCGCACGGCCAAAACTTGGCTGATCGCCCTTACAGGACGGTCATATTTCTCTAGTCGGCTGCTAGAGCCGGACAGAAGACACTCTCGATGACTCAAAAGCCGATAATAGATCAGGAAACTCCCGAGGAGCATCGTGCGCCCGCGTGACGTGACTGCTGGCAATGTCCCCAGGGACCAAGGGTCGGCCGACGGGAGGTCCAAGTACCTACCATCCCTCAAACCCGCGATCGACAAGATGCTGGCTCGGTCATCACCACATGGCGATAGGAGCGCGACACTCACAATCTCGCGCACCGCTCGGCAGCCTCTAGGAAGCATGCTCAACCACTGATAAAACTCGAGTACACAATCGCTCGGTCATCAACACGCAACGACAATAGCCTTTTGTAGATGGATGGAACTGCACTACTTCGCCTCTGATTCAAAATCGCAGGAACAAACCACGATGGCTCAGCACAGTCGGCTAAACTCTACCTTGGACTTGACGTGCCTATTGTTCACGGATGAATTCAGCCTGGCTCACATGGGAGGAGCCTGGCTATCCAGTAGCCAGGTCCAATGCATTCAAGAGCGTGGCGTTTGGTTGTTTATTTACACGAGCCAGGTTGCTCGCATTAGAGCATCTCCAAGAGAGTTACGATCCAACTAACTAGCTAAGGCCATTGCTATTTTATTTGATGTTGTGGGGGATATGACCCCCGGTATCCATAAGACAAGACATGGGCCGCACCATCAGAGGTGGCCCAACCCACAAGATCAAGACGTGCACCGCAAGGCTATAATAAGACATTGTATAATACCAAATAGGATACTTTCCTTGTAACCCTACCCCTCCAGAGCATATAAGGAGGGGCAGGGGTCCCCTAGTCGACATCCCCATACAGATCCTAGGCCTAGCCTAAGGCATTTGATCACACGCAATATCATACGAAGCCAATACAATCCAACAGACCACAGGAGTAGGGTATTATGTCACGCTGACGGCCCGAACCTGTCTAACTCTTGTGTCTCTGTTGCCTTCTTGTTCTTGATTACGTGCACCTCTACCGATCAATCTACCTTCGTGGGATACCCCTTGGAGGACTGCCGATGATATTATGTCGATAGCTGACGCGCCAGGTAGGGGCATGCGTGTTTTTCCATGTCGAACAAGATGGTTTGTTTTGCAGGCTCTTCGTCCCTCCCACAGCTAACACACTTGCACGTGATTGTGGAACACTTGGTGGTGTTAGCACATTTACAAAGGTGAAGAAGTTGGTGAAGAACAGAAGGCGAAACCAGGCTTGGGGTGCTGCCTAGGTGGCACCGCCACCCCCTGTCCGATGCACTGCCACCTCTGTGGCGGTGACTAGTTGGGAGGCCGAGAGCAGTGTGTTGCCCTAGGGACACCGCCACTATGTCCGGTGGCACCATCACCCTTAGGGCGGTGCCCACCTGGTCGTGGCCGAGAAGTGCTAGGTGGGCGCGAGCACCGGTGCGTCCGGTGTACACCGCTGTTGTGAGGGCGGTGCAGTTCCCGGTCACCGCCGCTGTTGGGGCGGTGCCACCACCAATTTTATCCAGAGAGCAGGGGAACTGGAGATGGGCACCGCCACGGTCATAGCCACCCCATGGTGGTGCACCGCCACTTTTTTCTATAGAGGAGGGTTTTCGGGTAGCTGGCCAGGTGGTCACCGCCACCCTTGGGCCGGTGCCACCGCCACCCTATCCGGTGACCATAGCTAGTCAAACTAGCTGTTGGATTTGACTGTTGGGGGGCACCACCACCCCTAGGGTGGTGACCGCACCGCCGTGTCCAGTGCCCTGGTAGAATCTGCTCCAAAGGGGTAACGGCTCTATTTGCTTGTGGGTTTATAAATAGAGGGTGTGGTCGGCCTTGGCCACTCTCTTGGGACTTCTAATAGCTGCATACACCCTTTGAGAGCTGAGCACACCACTCCACTCACTTGCACACTTGATTTCATCATCTTGAGTGAGATTGAAGAGCCTCTAGTGCATTGCTTAGTAGTCTAGCATCTTGTGGCACTAGTTGGGCGATTTGGTCTAGTGGAGATCTTGTTAATCTTAGTGTTTGCCAACACCTAGACGGCCCGGTGATTGGTGGATCGTCGAGCGGAGGAAGATGATTGTCTCCGGCTCCGATCATTGTGATTGTGAGGAGATCTTGTGCCTTCCCCGGCGGAGCGCCAAAGGCAACTATAGTGCATTGTGCATGGCTTGTGGATCCTCATCTTATGTTGGTTGTGTGGCACCCGGTTGCAGGTTAGGCGTGTGATGCCTATTAGCGCGTGAACCTCCAAGTGAGTGAATTGCCACAACGGAGACTAGCTTGCCAGCAAGCAAGTGAACCTCGGAGGAAAAATTGATTGTGTCATCATTGTCTCCTTGGTATTCTTTGGTATTCATTGATTGATCACTTGCCACGGCGGTATATCACTTCTACCATTCTCCTGCATTACTTTGTTTTTACCTTGTGTAGTGCTTGTAGCTAGTGTAGCTCTTTAGTTGTAGTTCTCTAGCTAGTTTTGATCACCTAGATGTAAATTAGTGACATAGCTCTTGTGTGATATACTAGAGATCATAGAAATTAGAATTGGGTAGTTGGCTTGCAACACAAGTGTAGTACTAGCGCAAAATTCGCTTTCGCCATCTTATTCACTAATCACTTGTCTTAGTGTTGTTGTAGAAATTGTCCGTTGTTGTAGTACCAGGCCGTGGAAGAAGGACGTCAGCACGCGGAACATGTCACCGTTGCCATTGAGTCAGTGACGAGCATCACGTGACACAGTAGAGGACGACGAACAGGATGGAGAAGATGAAGTTGGTGAAGAAGAGCTGCGGCCTGGGCAGCGCCAACGGGATGATGGCCTGGTAGTACTCCTCCAGGAAGGTGAACTCCTGCTCAACCACGATGAAGGCTCCTCCGCGACGAGCTCCCCAAGGAGGCCGTCGCGCACGAGGGCGCGCGCTTGCTTTCTTCCGGCCGGGACGGGGTCTGCTCATCTAGTGGGGCAGTGAGGTGGCCGGCTCGAGGTCTGCTTGTCGAGCGGGGCGGTGAGGTGGCCGGCTCGGGGTCAGCTCGGCCAGGGGCGGGGTCTGCTCATTGGGAGGGGAGGTGAGGCAGGCCGGAGGAGCAGAGGGGAGCGGTGAGGAGAACGGGCCGCGGGGCTGGCTCGGGCCTGGCTACAGAAAAACGCCCAACTCATACGTTCTTCTGGAGCCAGGCTAAGACCCTCTAGTGGCTTGCTGGAGCCTGATTAGGAGGCCTATTCAGGGAACCAAACAAGCTGAAGCCAGTAAACCTGGCTAGGGGATAGCCATGGAAACAAACAGGCCCATAAATTTTACGTGAAAAACCCTTGCAGAAAAACAGACGCCAATCGACGAACTTCACTAAGTAGAGTTTACAAAAGGCAGGGAATACAGTGAGTCATCGCTTACAAGATGTATATATAGGACAACAGGCTGCAGTCAAATACGGAAACAAATCCGCTATTAATATAACTCGAACCAGGGCCCTTAGAATTCAGATCATACTCCAATAGATATAATTCTACTAGTGATCATTGGTATAATTATTTTCTATATAAAAAAAAGTAGTGGCTGTAACTGCATGTCAAAGACTGTAAAACTAAAAAATAGCATGAAACAAGACAACTTTGGCCTTGTTTGGAAAAGGGGTTTTAAGTAAATTCTTGTGATTTAGTAGAAATATGAACTAAATCCTAAAAATTCGTAGAACATTACCCTTCTTCCAAACAGGCCTAGTACTTGGAGAGCTTGGGCAAAAATTCTCCACGTTCTGGATTCCTGTGTCTGTTGATCATGGCTTATTCCCATAAATTATGGTTTTGTCTACTTGTGTTGATTCCACGGAACTCAACCTGTAAACTTTGAGTTGTGAGTTCAGGTCAATTAGTCACGAACTTAGCATTTGTCCGGAACAAACAGCCGACTGGTCTGATAATAGTTGTCAGTAGGCTGTCCTGGTCACCTGGACTGGTCTGTGCAGAAAATTACTCTTAATAACAAGTGGATGGCTGCTTATCCTCCTGTCTTTTGTCCTGCTTGCTTCCCTAGCCAATGCCAATCACACTTGCACTCGGCTGCCTTTCTTCCACACCCAGCGCTGCCGCCGCCGGTTACCTGTGATGCGCGTACCGATGATGGCCGCCTCTCATTTGGTGAGCGCTGCCCAGTGGATCGCAGGAGTCATCACGGAGCAGGCCATCACCAGCAAGCTCAAGGAATGGGTTACCCAGTTCTCCGGCCTGGGCACCGATATCGACAGTCTCAAGGCACCAGCATGGCCCAGGGGAGGCGAATCCGGAACAATCACCTGACCAGCCTCCTCGCCAAGTTGCACCAGCTGCTGTACGATGCTGACGATGAGCTCGACGAGATCGAGTACCACCGCATCCATCAGGATCAGGATGCGCGAAGTCGTGACCAGCAGGCCACCAGCGGCAGCATGGTCCACGCACCGTCAACGGCGGCCACGGCCGTACTACATCTGCTGAGCGATGTGGTGAGCCACCAGCCGTTGGCCTCCTCAACGTTCAGGGACATGTTCATGTACCCCTGGCCTTGGGGCCCGAGGAAGCGCAGAAAGCTCACAGCTGACACCAATGCCTTGGATCTGCCTTTGGTAGAGCTTGACTGGGGTGCTCTTGGGCGGAGGATCAGAGAGGCCACATCCCAGCTGCGGGTTGTCAGCGAGCAGGTGCACAGGGCGCTGCAGCTAGAGGAACTGAAGTCTATCAGTCAGGCGGCTCACAGCCAGCTTAACAATCGACGATTGACGACCTCATACCCTGCCGGAGAGCACAAGATGTTCGGCAGAAATGGCGAGAAGGACAGCATCATTGAGGTGCTCACCGACATCAGATGCTGCAGCCAGAGTAGGCTGCTGGTGCTCCCCGTCGTCGGCAACGGCGGCATAGGAAAGACTACTTTGCTGCAGCACGTGTACCACGACAACAGAATCCGGAGCTTCTTTCACACCAGGATGTGGATCTGTGTATCCCACTGTCACAATTTCAGTGTCTTGCGGCTAACGCGTGAGATGCTGGAGGCCGACACCGGTAACAAGCAGGACAGGGGAAGCAAGAACTTGGACAGCCTTCAAAACAATCTAGTCAAAAGGTTGCAAGGGAAGAGGTTTCTGCTTGTCTTTGATGACCTTTGGACTATCGATGAGAAAAAATGGGAATTGCTATTGGCTCCATTCAACTAAGGCCTCCACCAATTGTAACATCTTGGTGACCACCCAAGACCGCCGCGTCGCAGAGCTGATCAGCACAACGTCACCGATCAATTTGAGTGGTCTGGAGAGAGAAGTATTCTGGGATTGCTTTACAGCTTACATATTTGGTGATGAGAAGCATGACGGGCATCAACATTTACAGCCCATTGGAAGAGAAATTGCTAGAAAATTGAATGATTATCCCTTGGCAGCAAAAAGTGTAGGGGCATTACTGAGGAAGGACCTGACCATTGAACATTGGAGTAGAATTTTAGAGAGCAGGGCATGGGAAGAGCAGAATGGAACTGATGGCATCATGTCTATTCTAAGGCTTAGTTATGAGTACCTTCCATTTCATCTCCAGAGGTGCTTCTCATATTGCTCGTTGTTTCCAAAGGGCTACCGGTTCCTTGAGAAAGATCTGGTGCTCATTTGGAACTCACAAGGTTTCATTGATACTCGATTGGATAGGAAGCCAGAAGAAGTTGGTCATGAATATATGAACCACTTGGTGTGTTTGGGGTTCTTTCAGAAGGAGGTCAATCCAGCAAATTGTGAAACCTGGTACCTTATGCATGATATAATACATGACTTGGCAATTAATGTATCTTCACAATATTGCTTGACTATTGATCGCATCTCCATGTTCAATATGCACCGCACCCATCAGCAACCATTCGTCATATGTCCATAATTACGGAGACTATGTATCATGAGGATATATCCAGTAATGTGGCACGTAATGAGGACATTGAAAAGGTAGTAGTCAAGATAGCCAGTTTGCTGCAGAAGAAATTCCTGAGGTCCTTGATGTTGTTTGGCAGATATGATTCCAACTTTGCACATGTTTTTCGGCTGGCCTTCAGAGAAGCAACAAATATGCGCTCAATAATAATGTGCATGATGTCATGAAGGTTCTCTGTTGTATGATGTAACACCTCTGGTGTTTTGACCTATCATTAAAATTTGATATGTCATCGTATGCATTGCAAAGCATTCATAAAGTAGAAAATGTTGAATGCATTCACTAAATAAGCTTTATTTCATAATATTGTTATTTTATGTTATGTGATTCAAAACCCTAAATAAAGATCATGATCACAAGAGTCAAAATTCATGTGATCATGTGAGACCATGTGTTAATTGACTCAAATAACCCTAAGGGGCCATGTTACTGGTCAAAAATCAAAGTTAAGTCAAAAGGTAAACAAATTAAACTTGAATTCAACTTCAAATTATAAAAGTCTTTTTTACCCCTTTTGTATATTTCAAAATCCATTTGGAATTTGGGGGTGTGACAAAAAGCAAAGTTGAAGCTTATTTTATAAGGATCAACTTTGGTATTCAAAGTTTTTAAAGTTTACATATAAAGTTTGGAGTAATTTTGAAATGATTCAAATGCTCAAATGCACCTCAAATTCAAATTTTAAAATGGAGGCAGAATTTGAAAATATTCCTTGAAGCAAAGTTGTAGAGTTTGAAAAGTTGAGAAACTTTTATTTTTGGAGATTTTCATCTTCTTTAGAAAATTTGAGAGTAATTTGTAAAATGAACTCAGTGGCAAATCTGTAATTATTCGGAACAGTAGCACGACCACCGCCCCACCGCTGGCGTCCTTTCTCCGGTCTTCCAGGTGCGTCTGCGACCGCCCTTGGCTTCGCGCTGGCGTGGGGAGCACGCTGCGTGTCAATTCCGCGCGCTCCTGGCCGAGCTATAAGACCCAGACGTCGTCGTTGGTTTTTCTTTTTTTCCCTCTGTTTTCCCGACGTCGCTGTCTTAACTCCGGCGAGCTTCTCTCGTCTCCCCAGCGCAAGATAGCCCAGGAAAAGCCGTGTCCTAGTTCCGCCTGCTCCTTGCGTATCCGACCAAGCTGTTGCTACCGCTTGATTTTGTCGAGAGCTCGCTGTCCACGTTCATCTTCCTCGCGGCCGGCGACCTCGACCGAAACTCCGATTCACCGTGGCCAGCATCGTCCGGTGAGCTGTTGCCCTTTCTTGTTGACTCTACAGCTTCATCTCGATGCTGTGATGCTTAATCCGTTCTTGCTTGGTTGTTTTGCTCACTGCAATCACCGAAACTCCATCACCGACGAAGTTTGCTCCGCCGTGACCGTTGTCACCGTCGACCCGTGTCACCGTAACTCCTCCGGTCTCGTTCTTTGCTTCAACAAGTTCGGGGTGAGCTGTTGATCCTTTCTAAGTCTTTTGTTTGATCTCTACTGGCTTTGTTTTGCCGGCGTAGCGATGCCGTGCCACCGCGTCCGCCATGGCCGGCGTTAGCCTTGTTCCGTGTCGTAATCAACCTCTGTAGTGCCACAGATCGATGTGCCTAGTCGTTGTGAACGTTTTGGTGCTATGGCCGTCGCTGTTGGGCTCACCGATGGTGAGTTCGCGTCGGTCAGCATCGTTGTCGCCGCGGTCAAAGCCGGAGCTTAGGGATGACAAGTGGGTCCCGTATGTCAGCGACTGTATAGTTCAAATGGAATTTTTCAATTTTCAGAAATGAATGAATAGTGTCTGTTTTTGTTATTTTTGTGTAGATTTGTTTAGAGCTCTAAAAATTATGAAAATTTTTGTGTGACCTCTCTGTGATGAATGTTATTTAGAAAAAATATGAAACTTGAAATTTGAATAAATTTTTAATGTTCAAAAATTCAGTCAATTAATTGATAAATGCAATTTCCATAATTTTTGTAGGTCTCGGTATAGCTCCAAAAATTATGAAATTTATTTTGGAACACTAATTTGTCATGAGGAAGCTTACATAAAATTTTGAGGACATTTGGAACAAGTTTATTTTTGGGCTTATTTCCAAATTAATTAAAAAATGAATAAAAGCAAACCCTAAGTGTTAGGGTTAGGGTTTGATCTTGTTTGGGTCATGTTGTGTGACCAGTAGGGTTTCAAGATCAATTTGGTCAAGTCGATTAGGTCATAAACCCTAGATGTTAGTGTCAAGTAGTTTTGTTGACTTGCAACTATACCGCGAAGTAAAATTGTATTCAAGGTGTTATTATATTTCATGCACCATGAAAGCATCATGTTTATATTATCATCATGTTGAATCATATGTTATTATTTCATGTAGAATCCGAGAGTGAAACGATTCTAGTTGAGCAAGTTGTGGAAGAATCCCCGGTTGTCACGGGATTCGATAATTGTGGTACTGATCCGGAACCCGAGATCGTCAACGAAGGCAAGCCTCGGTTTATGCATTAAACCATTACCTTGTTTACTTTGAAAAGTTTATCACCTATGTTACTTATTGCATTAAGTTGATTTATTCAAATGTTACCTACTTGATGCATTGCCTACCTTGTTAATTGTTTACCATCCTTGAAGATGATTTCATTTACAAAGGCGTAGAATTGCTTAGTATGCTTTGTGGTAGGCTTTCAAAGTAAAAGTTTGGATACAATCAAAGTTGGCATACTGGCCAAAGAAAGAAAGAAAGAAGATAGAATGAACTAGAGACTAGTCGGGTGGCTTATCTTGAATGTTGGATAATGTTGCAGACTATGTCGCTTAAAGGCCACTCATTGTGGATCTTCTAAACGAGACACTTTGTAGTACTGGTCACATACTCCGATAAGCCTACTTCGGCTAATCCGATACTAAGACGAATGCCCACGCACTGGGAGTGGAGAGATGACGGGAGTAGCGTGTACCCTCGTGGCTGGAATGTGGTCGGATTTGATGTGTGATGTGCTCTCAGGTGGCGTGGAGATGGCTTAGTATGGGAGGATCTGGTAGCGAGGTTGATATATGCAAGATTAAGTTCTACATATGTCGTGTGATAAGGAATCCCTAGCTGGGACTTGAATCAATTCGAATTGCTGGTGCTCCGCGGATATGGAGACTCGATTCATTACAGAAGCAATGCAGGACTGGTGAATTACTAAAACATGAGAAAAAGAATGGAATTAGAAGGATTGGAACAGGGGATATGAACACTTGGTTGGAGATAATGAACTAAAGTACTTAGGGGTAAAACTTGAAACTAGGATCAAGAATAGTAAGCTTTTGGCAAAGAACTTTTGAATCTTTCTACATCCTTACCTTGACCCAACACCTGCATCCCTAAGACCTTCGCCCTTTTTGGTCGGGTCAGTCTTGTTGAGTACTTTTGTACTCAGGGTTTGTTAACCCTTGTTGCAGGTGTGTCGCATGCGCAGGCTTGTTTTGGTCCCTACTGCATGTTAGTGTTTGAAGTTGATGACGATGAGGAATGATGAATGGCCTTTGGACAAGGCACTAGTTTATGTGAAATAAATAATGTTAATGTAATATTATTCCGCTACTATGGTTGTATGACACTTATGGTTTTGTAAGTTTGAAACAACTGGTTTGTAATATTAAAACTTAAGTCTTCTGCTTTATAATCTCTGGTATGTATAGTAAAAACTGTTGTAATCTGCAATGACTGTGATTGGGATCCTGTTTGTAAAAGATTCATGGATGATTCGGGTTTCCCGAGGACACCCGACAGACCTGTTAAGTTGTTGGGAACTCGTGTACGCTATCAGCGATCTGTTGAGACATCGATAGGTGCATGTGGGCCCGATTTCTTAGGAGATTCTGCGACAGCTGGTATCAGAGCAGGTCCTATCTAAGATCATTGTAGGTTACATTTGAAAAGCTTCAAATGGATTTGGATCAAAGAAATTAAAATGGATATTTTGAGTTCAAATTTCTTTCTTCTTCCCTCTGATCTAGCATCAATTCTATCTTATTTCAAAGTTTGTGGCGGATAATATGATTAGGTTTGTCCTATGTATTAAAAATCTAGTACTTTTGATTGTATAAATCTTTTGTACTCGGATTTGTAAGATCGATTCATGCATCATGCTTGAACACCTTGCATAATAATTCCCCTTAAAAGTGGTTGGGTAATTAATGTCAATCCCATTCTTACTAACCTCCATTATCCTCAAGCTATCCTTATAGTCCTATCCTAAATTCTACAGGCTATGGCAAAGACCAAGATAACCGCGCGCAAGTCCACTGGACCTCACAGAGTCCCTCGTCACCAGTTGGCACCGCGTAACCGTGAGCTTGGTGAAGGAAGTTCTAAGACCCTAGGAGATGAAGGATCTTCAAGAAATCCCACCAACATCGAGAATCTTACCAAGGAGCTCAACACTCTTCGTCGAGCTCATGCCAAAGATCAAGAGAAGCTGGCGGAAATGGAAAGGGACATCACCAAGAATACCGAGTTGCGGAATGAAGCCTGGACATGAGAGGATGCGGCCAATGAACGCATCCATGAGTTGGAGTTCTATGTAGAAGACCTGGAGATGGACAACGCCATTCTTCACGAGAATGTTCACATGATGTACGCTCAACTTCATCCTCCTTATTGGGATGGTGAAGTTACAGATGAAGAAATGATTGTAGATCCAGGAGAAGTCGAGAATGAAGAAGAGGAGGAGGATCCTGAGGAGTTAGTGTACTTTTCCGATGAAGATGAGGTTGAGTCCGATATGGACACGGACGCCGATGACTGAGAGTTTGGAGTAGAAATAGTTCATTTACTGCTTTTCTAGTAAACCAGGGTTGTCTTGTGGGATACAAGACATGTAACATAAATAAGAAACCCTTTGTAGCATGAAACCTTTTAACTGCTTTCAATAAAAATAGTAATGTAAATAAACGTGTCTCTCTAACAGATGCCTCGTATTAACACCCGAACTGG